CGTACAATTGACAAACTCACATAGGTTATGTTTACTACTTAAGAACAGCTGATGAGAGGGGTGTTATGTAAACAAACATGTGTACCAACTGTTGGTGATGAAATATTTCATTTGTTGAAAACTCAATATACATATATATAATATAATGATACTATATCTTGAAAACAAGAGCTAATATATAATTTTTATGGTCACTTTCGGTTTTAACACGTGGAAATACATTAAAATCATCTAATTTCAACCCCGAAACAAAAACTTTGTTGTGTTGTGAATTGACTAATCCACTTCATTGCCAAGAGGAACTAACACTACTTCAATGTGTGAATTTATTGAAATAATAGTCATACCTGTCCTAAGATTCTCATTTCTCAACCATTCTTCAAGAGGTCTGAAATATTCTCGAAGAGCACTACCATCTAGTCGGCTTTCTCCGGTTGCTTGAAATAAAACATCTCTCCACGGTAGTGATGATCCTTTTTCCATTATTTGCCTGGAAATGAAATATGATATTCATCAAGTTCATTTGAACATTTGAAGACTGGAATTGCCATAAATTAAAAAAAAGGTCATTGTCAAAAGGAGCTAGATTGGTTAACATGAAAAACGCCAGAAGAATCCTGGCACCTTTAGCAATTTCAGTATTCATTAGTGAATTTCAGGTACCTAACTAAATATAGAACAGACTTCATGTCTGCTTTCATTATTTGGAAAATTGAATCAATTTCATTGCCTGAATAACGAACTAAACTCGTATTTTTCAACAATAGTACTTCATTGTTGAAATCTATCGTGCTTTGAAATGAGACCGCACAGCCGGCATCCAATTCACCTGACTTACTTGATATGGCTAGGTGCATCAACTGTATGTAGAGTATTATTTTTAACTTCAATGAAATTACCACTATTCAGAATGATGTTCCAATTCGAATTGTCTCATTATACCAATGGGCTTCGATTAGGATATTGAGATTTTTTAATTTCTGAATTGTTGATATTGAAAGTGCGGTTTAATTTGGAGGATTGTTGTCTTATTTTCGTGAGGTTATGTGCAATTAGTGTGGCAACAGTTAGTTAAGGTTCAGTCATTGTCATAATCATAATATCGAACCTGTAAATTTTGCTTGAAGCACTTACGCAGAGTTTGAAATAATACATATAATAATTTTTCCATCATCGGATGACTAAAATTGTATCTGCTTTCTATTATTCGTAGTAGATATTTGTCTGAATTTTTATCGAAATATGTTGAAAGATAGATTAAATAACATGGCAAATTGTCGGAAAGATAATCACATCAGCGATTTTCCAATCATATAACTGATATGGGTGAGGTCCACGCACAGTAACCTGAGATATTTCCTGAACATGTATAGAAAACGGTTTAGTATTCCGAGGAGAGCAGAAAAAACAGATCGAACACACTCGATTGTGTATGAGGTAAATACGATATCAGCAATGAAAACGTTAGTTACGTGTACTTTCACTTTTGATTCATCAGTAAATCTAAAAGGAATTGAAAACGCTCCGGATTGGAAATACCTACTCGGGATAGTTACACGTACGTGATCCGAATCATGTTCTCCGATTTCCATATTTTTATTCCACTCACAACGATCCAGTTTGCACTCACAAAGACATTTTTTTTCATCATATAACAGTTGGGCTGATATAGACGTAGGCTAACATAGAAAATGATGATAAAATTTGATTTAATTATTCTATATAGTTGCCTTCGAAGGGAGGCGATCTTGCGATTATATAATAATAATAACAATAATAATAATAAGATGGTTGTTCTGATTATTGGAGTCCTTGGTGGAATGATGTCCTCTCTACTCTCGAATCTNAGATATACGGTCCAACGCCAGCTTCAGAAAAGCAGTAGAGAGAGTTCTTTTCGATAGAACCTATTATAGTTTGGAAGAATATTATGTGGATAGAATAGAATGATAAGCAGACCAAAACTGTACATTTTCTATACACTTACATAGACTTTCTATACACTTTACACCTTCTATTGTTTGTTATGTTTTCAATTTCAAATAAGTGACTGATTGTTTTTATTTAATTCGATTTTATATGGTAGTGACTATTTTTAAACACTGTTACGGTCCAACATGTTTTTTTGATATCTTTAGAGCCTCAGTTATCTAGATCAACTTCACTTTATGGTCATTCAAAATTATTTTCTGCAAATTTCATATGTTTTTCGTCAGTAACATCCTCTCTGGAGCGTCCAATGTGTGCATCGTCCTCGGTGCTCCTTTCACCTCGTTTGAACTCAGCAATCCACTTCTCAATAGATGAATTTCCCGCTACAAAGTCCGAATAATATCCATCAAGCCAAGCCTTGAACATTAAAATGGGTATACTAAGAAGCTATCCCTGAAAGATGAACATATACCATCGCGGTCTTCTTTGTAGACCAATAAAAGAAGAAAAATATATGAAGAATATTGAGCGAATGAACATGAATGGATAGAAAGGTTGAGTGAATATAATATATGAAACAAAGTCGCAAAATCAAACTGAAAAACAGCTGAACCAATTTCACATTTCATTTTTCAGATTTCTCTCCGTCTGGAATAGCAAAAGATTTATGGAAAAAACTATGATTGAACAAATTGACAACATTCGTTTTGTCAGGTTATGCCAGTTATCATGGTGCGCTCAAAAACCATTGAGGTTATGACGTTTGTGATTGTGTGGGCATGAGTAATTGTTATCTTCTAGTACGATTACTTCCTCATCGAAGTTGAATTTCTTTTAAGCGAAGCATTCTCTTGAGGTCTGAGAACAAAAAAGTCGCCGGGGTCCAGATCTGGAGAATACGGTGGATGCGAAAGAAATTCGAAACCCAATCCATGCAATTTCGACGTAGTTTTCATTGATTTGTGTCACTGTGCATTATTTTGATGGAACGATATTTTCTTTTTCTTCGAATTGGGCCGTTTTCCGCGATTTTGCCCTTCAAACGATATTTAATAGTCGCTGTTGTTGGTTTCTCCTTTTTCAAAATAGTCAATGAATATTATACCATGCGCATTCCAAAATACTGAAACCATAACCCTGCCAGCTGACTGTTGCGTCCTGGCATGTTTTGGAGTTGGTTCACCACGTGAAGTCCACGTAGATGGCGATAGTTTTGATTCTGGTGTGAAATGGTGCTATGTTTCATTCATTGTCACATATCAACGCATAAATTTGGTTTTTTATGGTGGAACAGTTTCAGACACTGCTCACAATCGTCCAAAAACAACAACAACAACGTGAAACGAAAACTTAATCTTGTATGGCACTAATACTGATGAATTGAAAGAAACGTTATATGGTATCAAAAATGAAACTGTAACTGGATTTGATGACATTTCTGTTAGGAATTTTGAAAATCTTCCAGATAATGCCCTGAACCAACTAGCCTCTCTGATAAATGAATCCTTCAAAGAAGGCATATTTCCACTTTTTCTCAAAACATCAATTGTCATACCGATCTATAACGGTAGTGAAGTGAGCTCTCCCATGAATTTTAGACCCATTTCCCTCATTCCCACGTTGGCGAAAATCATCAAAAAACTCGCTGCAACGTAATTAATCACAGTTTGAAGTTTATGTACTTAGTATTAATGAATGTAGGTATATTTCTTATTACCTACTCTCGTATATATATACTCCGATATTTCTATTTAGGTCAGTAGTGCTAGAACACTTGAGAATGGTGTAAAAACCGAAACCTTGGTCGTATTAATATCAATACATTAAGTAAGTGGAAATTAGACAAAGTATTTCATTCCTATATCTAATTGAAGATGAATTTCCACAAAATAAATAAGTCATCAATATCACAAAACAAGCTGAGCTTCATCATATCGTTAATTCAGAAATAATAAGGGTCAAAGAGTGGTGTGACTCGAACCTTTTATCCTTCAACATATTGAAAACTAAGATAGTGTCCTTCGAATGTACAACTGCTGATATTTGTTTAAACCACCAGACTATTGAAAACCGTGTTTTTTTCTAAATGTCTAGGACTATACATCGACAATGGTCACAAATTCAATGAACATGTCAAAAACTTGAATACAAAATTGTCCTCTGGTTGGTATGTTGTTGAAAAAACTATGATTGAACAAATTGACAACATTCGTTTTGTCAGGTTATGCCAGTTATCATGGTGCGCTCAAAAACCATTGAGGTTATGACGTTTGTGATTGTGTGGGCATGAGTAATTGTTGTCATAATAGAAGCAGCGTCAGTAATATCGATCACAGAGTTATTGCGAATCAATCAATGGTTTCATAGTTTTTTGTGTTTCTCTTTAAACAACATAAAAGTGATCAAGATACCTTTGGACTTGACAGTGACTCGTTCAAATATGCCATATCCAAACTCGTCATCACAACAACAAAATCATGGGTTGGTATTTCGATGTTTGGTTTTCAATAAAACCATAATAGTGGCGATTGGGGAAACACCAAACCACATTTATAGTATCTTTTGAAACATATCTTTAATATCCCAAATTGATGGAAACAGAATCACCAAAGTCAGACATGAGAAGGGAAATTTCAATAGATATTACATGACTCACCGTTACATTCACTGAAGAAAGACAGTAAACATTGTCCAATTCGAGTTCTTGAGGTTTCAAACGAAAAAATTAGTTTAGCACTATCGGGACAACTACCCCATATTGGATAAACAAAAGAGAGCTGATCATAAAAATTCGAAAACCCCCAATGAAAAATATTTCTTAGCATTGAACATAATGATTCCCCGTCATGAAATTACCGTAAAATCGAATTTTTACATAATGTATATTTATTTCACTCCCGTCTTGTGATCCAGTTTCAAATCCTTTCGCTCCGTAATTTGGTATCTCCTGTCAAGATCACAAATTATATTGTTCAGCAATTGAGTTCACATATAAAAAAAGAAACCTAATGAGACATGTCCTTTAGAGAGTTAATGAATTGGAAAAGTCTTTTACATACGACAGCGCAATACCAATTACCTTGCATACACATTCTCGAGTTTATCATGAGATCAACTTTGGTTTTGTTTTAGCGATAGTCAACCGATTGAATGGTTTTATTGGGCAGAGTAGGAAACCACTGGGTCGGAAAATTATATTCTCGGTAACTTTTGGTGCAAGTGTGATATTGATTCGAATTTCAACTCTGTTAATTATGTCAAAAACTTATCTCAGTCCAGTAACAGAATTGAAAATTTTAATTTTATTGACAATGTTCATTTTCCATTCCGCGTTTCCCATTCTAAATATTGAAAAATCCCAATAACCAAGAAAACCAAACTATGCCTGATATTATGAGCATACTTGTATAAATACCATTCAGTGAAATGCTAACTGATCATCGTACTACATCAATACTTTTGTAAGTGATAGATTGTATTCAATCTATCACTTCTCGTTGGCAGAAAATTATCCGAAACAACTACTTTCAAATTAATATGGAACTACACAAAAATCTC